TTTTTTTTTTCCTTTGGATTAAACTGTCGGCAAACAAGGGTTGTTGAGATATTGAATTAAACTGCATGTCGGTTTTGCGTAAAATTAAACTAAGGAGATTTCATTCTCGGTGGCCAAAAAACAGGAAACTTCACCATTGTAGAATTCTTCTGAAACTTTGCGTCAGTGCTTGCAGAGAATCACTGGAGACTTCCAACAGTTGACTTGAAGGAGAATGGAGGCATGGATCAAGTATACACATGATACCGATTTTATTCTGATTACATGCTTTCTAAGTATGACATTTTCTTTTTAATAATCTGTACGGTAATAAATAATGAGGGCAACTCAAAGTTTGTACATCTCACAGCATTATAATATAAGCAGAAATGTATGCTGATGTTAATGCTCTTGTGTAGAAGTTATGGTGGCAGTTGAATGTAAAGAATTTCATGTTAGGCTCTTTAACTCTAATCATATGATCAATAACTACTCGTAACAATGAGTGTATATTTTCTCCTTTCGGCCTCTAATATCCTCATTTTAGCCTGGCTAAAAGTACTTTAGCATATGGTCCTGCATTTTGTGTAATGTTGGTCATTAATGTGGTTGCTTTTGTTAACCTTAATTAATGGTTTAGAGCAATGCATGTTGTGTTAGACTGTTAGCCCCTCATGCTGGATGAAGCTGACAGAAACAATAGACAAGGGAATGGAAAGGAAGAGTGGTTTGCCACATGCAGAGCACCAACTTTGATCCAACCTATAAGATCCTGAATTTAAGCTGGCCAAATTTCTATGTTGAGATTCTTTTCTTGGGTTTAATGTCAAAGAGTCAGTGGTCGATTCCCCACTTAATGATGAACAAACCATATCATTTTTATTTATTTATTTAACATCTTGCTGGAAAACAGGTAAGAGTGAAACTGCTGAATTCAGTTCTATATAAGCAAATCCATAGGTTCATCTTCTTCTCACATTCTTTTAACATGTAACTTTGTTTCTTTTCAACAGGAAATGGAGTTCCTTGGATGCACAATTGTGGTCCTTCTAACAATGTTGAAGATTGCTGAAGGGCATGGAAAAGGATGGACTAATGCTCATGCTACTTTCTATGGAGGAGCTGATGCTTCCGGGACAATGGATAAGTATGAAGAAGGAGAAACTACAAAGGCTCATTCGGAAACATATTTATAGAGAAAACATGAGTGTTTGTAAAAGGCAGCATTCTATTAGTGTACCTTTTGACATGGTCAGCTTCCCTGCTTATAGGTTGCAACATACTCTTAGCTGCGATTTCTTGATATCATTAGGTCCCTAACAATTTTCATGTTACGGGTTCACCCTGGAATGCAATAAGAGCTACCCCCTTCGGATGTAGAGGAAGTTTAAAAACACATTCTTGCAAAAATTAGTGAATTAAGAAAATATAACAAGTGTACATTAATGATACATAAAAGCTGTTTGGATTAGTTTTTTTAATACAATTGATAATTAATATCTTATGACTGATAATTATTATTGTTTATAATTCAAAATACTTATTTCGTTTGATTAAAACTAATAGTTGATAATTGTTTTTAAAAGATTAAAATAAACACCCCATAATAAAATGAAGATATGATTTTATTAGATAATATAAGTAGTCGTGACATTTATTTGGAAGAAGAAACTTCGATTACATACAAAATTAGTGGTTCACAAATGCAAAGCATTCTTCAAGAGGAACTTGGCCCTTTGGGTCAAGTGGTTCTAGTCACGTTTGTAAAGGTTTGTATCCTTCTCTTAGGGCAACGGTTCGACGCAACCCCATGACAAAAATGTAAAAAAAAAAAAAAAAAAGGCATTCTTAAAGACAGGGAAAAAAAAAACTTAAAAAAGGAACATCTTTTTCCGGAAGGAAAATGTGGTAACAATAAAAAATTTATTAAAAATTTTTAAGAATAATTTAAAGAAATATTTGGGAATACTTTCAAAAGGAAATTTTGGTTAAATGAATCAAAATTGAAAAATGAATTAAGGACAACAATTTTTTATTATTTTATATATAATTTTACGTGTTATTTAAATAATTTTAT